TGAGAACAGGTGTGGCTCATCAGAAGCCGGGTAGGACAGAAAACCTACTGAATAGTAGCTCTCCAGGACCGGAGTTGGAGACCCCTGGATTAGGTGTTTACTAGGGGTGTAACAATATACTCAGCCCACGAGACGAGACACGATATTGGATTCATGAGAACGAGACAAGACGATATTGTAACAATATTTTAAGGAAAACTTCGAAGAGGAAATATATTACTGGAAAGCAGCCTTTTATTTTATTAATTTGAAAGACTAAAAAATGCAGATGTATGGTTAAATGTTAAAATAATCACCATCATCATATGCAGTAAAGAACAGAACAAATATCTAGCACCATAAAAGATTTCACCACAAACTCAAATGACAGGCTTCTCTCGTATTTGACTACTCAGTTGAACATAAAAAAGAATATAAATAAAACAATGGGTGCGTTCGACTTCATGCAGCCGCTTACAGCGCTGGCTTAAAGCATGCATTCTGCACGGTTAGATTTTTTTGTCCGACTTAAGCCGGCGCTGCAAAACGTCACCACGCGTCACCATGTCACATAGTACAAAAACCTCGCGAGAGCAAGACGACTTAAGACAGATCGTGCAGCACCTCAGCCGGCTGCACAAACTGGAACCGCCTCTGTGACGACACAACTCACTGACTCCAGCCAAGTGGGACAACTTCCACTCCTCGTAGTGTGCGAGATCTGACTGCAATGGCAGCACTGACAGAAGCATTACAAACAAATAAAGCAGCGCAACATTACAGTAACTAACAATAAATAACTAACTCACGTGTACTATTACAGCATTTCTGTAATTTATTTAAACTTTATTTTACCAGGTAAATTAACTGAAAACCAGTTGTCACTACTTTACGTGCTTTTCGGGAGAAGTAGCAGATAACGCATCGGAACTTCCTGGGAAACAAACGTCATGTGTGTAAAATCTTCAGCCAATAAGGGCAAAGTTATGCAAGAGGGTCTAGCTGCAGACGCCTGTAGAGTGGAGCTCCACTGGAAATACGTCACCTCCACAGGAAACACGTGATCTTTAAGGACGTAAAGTGGAGCTCCGGTTAGGGTTAGGGTTAGGGTTAAGGTTAAGGTTAGGGTTTATTCGCTGTGACACAGAGTTGAGGCCACGTATTTCCGGTGGAGCTCCACTCTACAGGCGTCTGCAGCTGGACCCTTCTCAAGTTATGTCGTCATGGAGGCGGTTCCAGTTTGTGCAGCTGGCTGAGGCAAAGAGAGTCCGGCTGCACGATGTCGTCTTGCTCTCACGAGGGTTTTGTATCATGTGACATGGTGGCACGTGTGACGTTTTGCAACGGACAATAATCTAACCATGATGCATTGCATCAGGACCAGAATGCATTGCTTTAAGACAGCGCTGTAAGCGGCCACAAGAAGTGGAATGCACCCAATAACAAACGTAAAAGTTTTTTCTTTTATTATTATTATTATTATTATTATTATTATTATTATTAATGTTTTCTTCACCGCTGCAATGAATTTAAATGAAGAGCTATGAGGGTGCTGCAAAAGGCTTTGCATAGTAGTAGCGTTAACCGCTGTGTACGGCAGTATTTTCCTACAATGCTTACATTACAGTTAGTTTGTGTGTTGTCTGTCATCCTTTCACCGTTTATATTTTCCGCCGGGTACCGAAAATTCTGCCACACAAAAGATTTAAAAGTGTCTGGGGCATCTACTATGGTAATTTAGTCAGACGCTGACATGCTTACAGCAGCTAATTTGCAGCGCCTTCGCGAAACCGCTTTTCACTCCGACGAGAAATCTCGTCATGTTGTAATATCGCAAGATCTCGTGACACCTCTAGTGTTTACATCAAAAAGTCTTCGACGCTATTGAAGGAAGCTTCTATAGCTTTTAATGTGCCCTAGTCACTGGATATTAGAGGACATATGGTTTCATTATTCACATAGTTTTATTTATTTTTGAAACAAATAAAAAAGATTTTAAGGCTCTGGGCCCTGCATAGGACAAGCAGGTACACAACATGGATGAATTTTCAAAAGTTTTAAACAGAATAATTTTACATCAATAGTTATATATTTGCCAGTGTTTGAAGAATGCAATGTAATGACTTTATTTTTTATCGGGTTTATTGTATCAGATATTGTGGGCTCAGTAGTGCTCCTGTAGGATTACTGTATATGCATGTTTTTGTTCTAACTTTTTAATTGAAGTTTAGCTCCTAAATGGATTAGTTTAGCTGTCTCTCTATGCGTGGTGGTCGTTAAAGTTTGAGGAGTATTCTGAACCTACTGCCCTACCACATTACATGACCTCATAGTTCATTCTCTTTCCTTACTTAATGGTTACATTGTGTAAAATGTGTCACTCTTAATGTGGACTTTTAATATGTAAAAGATTTCCCTCTGTCCGTCTTTCTTACAGATCCAGACTTGTTTGTTTTATTTATTGAATGCTATATTTAGTTGAAATACTATTACTAATTTACTATGCCAACTGCAATACATGTAAGATTAACCCTTTTCACTGGTATTGGTATGAGACAGCAAGTCCTTGGTACTTTTCTGAGTTTTGTAAACGTACCTTTGAAACATGGCAGTGTTTGGCGTCTATTAAAATTGAGCCCCCAAAACTTGCTTAATTAGCTTTTTAGTTCTGTTTATAGGAATTTGAACAGGTTTAATATGTTTTTTTTAGTAAGCGGTGAAAAACTTTTTTTGTAAAATGTGATCGCAGTTGGTTTGCAAAGAACTTTTGAGTTATGAAACTTGTGGGTTCGTTACGTTTCTATGTCAACAGAAAGAGGGCTTATTGCTTCCATAACGGCTCTGTTTGATCATCTTTTGGGTCAGATAGCAGCAGATTTAGTTTAAACAGATGTTATTCTGATTGGTACATTGTGTCTTTCAGCACCTTCGTTAATATTGTTGTTCCTGGTTCATAATTGCCTGATAAGTGCACTTTTAAGTGAGAGGAGGTTAGAAGTGGAAAATGGGACCAGGGTCCTTTCGCTCTTTGGCAAAGTATGTTTTGATCTTGCTGTCAGGAGTTTGGTTAAAAAAATACAGTGGATCTTAGACTAAACCAGCCACAGCTTTGCGGAATGCATCTGTCTTCTGCCATTTGTTCTCCATAACGCTAAGCAGGCTGTGAATTGAGTGCATGCTAAGATAATGTGAGTTGGTGCAGCGTGACGGTAATGAATGCCTCAGCACGTCCCCCAGCAGAGCGAAGATACATGTGTGGAGACTGTTTTCACCACAGAAGTGTTTGGTTGTGCTGGAATCATCAAGGCAAACAAAATTAGGCAAATTAAGACTTCAGGCTTATTCAAGGGCAAACAATGTCATGTGGACTTTGCGGCAGTCAGGGTACGTAGACAAATAAGTTGTAATGTAACATTTATGCTGTGCTGCAAATTAAAACACGTGAATAATCTCCTTACACTTTTCTCCATGAAGACCGCTTGCTTTATCCTCGCTGTTTCAGAGGACACTTACGAGAGGACGCTGACTGTGGATGGGGAAGAGGCCACACTTGTTGTGATGGACACGTGGGAGACTGAAAAACAGGTAACCCCCCCCCCCCCGACCTGCTGGATGTCTGAGATGAGAAAATGCCAGTTACTAGGAACAACATCACTTTTGTTTCCCAAATGAATTGTTGTAAATTTGAGTGAGTAATCATACTCACGCTCAGAGTATGCTGCCCTGCTGTACATGAACGAGGAGAGCCTTCTCTGCTTAGACGGCACCATATACTTTGGTTTCCTTTACTGAAGTACTGAAATCCTGTGGAAAATGACCTTGGCTCGTTTCCCCGTTGTTTTATAGAGATGTGGAAAAGCTATTTGCATTTTAAGACCAGGTGTGCACAGGACCTTTAATGTTTCATTTAATTCTCCGAAAGCCCTCGGCCTGGTACATTACAGCGGTAGGCCTTGAGTGGTATTAGGTTATACTGAAACATTTAAAAAATAACTCTTGTGCGTAAAAAACAGCTGCGTTGGAAACGGCTAACAGAAACGGCCAGGACTGTGTGTGCGCGTGATTGTGTGAAAGGAAGTGGGCTGAGAAGCAGCGTCAAGCTAAGTCTAAAGGCCTCTTTGTCCTTCATGTTATGTTATGGAAAAATCTGTCCTGCTGTAGCCGTAGCCCATAGCAAAAATCCATGGTCCTCGGCCAAAGTCGAGCAAAGGCTGCGGGAGAGCGCTCGTCCGTATTGCGCTTATGTAGGCAACGACATCGCTGGGGGGTGGCTCATTTTGATAGTATTGATTACACAGCTGGGAGTTGTGGGGTGGAATGTGAAGGTTTTGCACAACCATTAAAAAAAATGTTTCATTTTGTATCGATTCACAAGGGTGCTTTAATATTATGGTGCTGTGAAACTGCTGGTAGTTGAAGGGCATTCTGGGATACCTCACGTACTTCATATATTAGGTGCTCAATGCTTAAAAATGCATGACTGCTATAATGGCCGTCACTTGCTCCTTTGAGAATAAGGAATTGCTCCGTAAAATTGTTAAATAATAATAACCTTTTTATATTGGTAGTTGCAGTTATCCGTCCGTCTTCCGTGACCGCTTGTCCTGTGTAGGGTCAGGGAGATCCGGGAACATATCCCAGTAAGTGCTGGGCACATGGCTGGGGACACCCTGGATGGGATGCCAGTCCATCACAGCGAACTTGCATTCATAAGGGCATTTTAGATGGCAGCTCACCTAACTGTGTGTTTTTCGGCTGCTGCTGGAAACCAAGGAGTGCCTGGGTGAATCCCACAGAAAAACACAGACACAACTGGGTTTGGGAACCAAACCCACAACCTAGTGCTACCCAATGAGTCACCGCACCCCCCCGTAAATGCTTAAGTAAATAAAACTGAAAGCATTGCAAGGGAGTCAACCAGGTAGTAGCCATAATATGATGCATAAAGGTAGAGATTTGTTAAGAAAAGCCTCAACATCTGTTTCAGGAGCAGGACGAGAAGTGGGTGCAGGACTACTGCATGCAAGTAGGCAACGCCTACGTCATCGTCTACTCCATCACCGACCGCTCCAGCTTTGAGAGTGCCTCAGAGCTGCGCATCCAGCTACGGCGCATCCGGCAGGCCGACAATATTCCCATCATCCTCGTGGGCAACAAGAGTGACCTGGTCAGGTGTCGGGAGGTCGCCATTGAGGGTAAGTTAGTCACCCAACCTTAAAGAGCCTCAGTTGAAAATCCAATGCTTTTATTGCATAGGTCCCACAAAGAATTGCTATACTCTTAAATGGAGTCAGTACCCTTTGATAGAAGTTCAGTTGATACAAATTGTGAAGAGTAAAAAATGATGGCTATGTAGTCTCAGGGGATTTTCTTTTAAGGAAGTGGGTCCCCAACCTTTGCTTAGTTACTCAGCCATTACATATTTGTTAATGACACTGATTTAACTAGTCATAGGTCTGCCAGGTAGCTGGTTGGTGATGCCAAATGGGAACTGAGATGAAAAACAGAGGATGTGACACAGCGTTTTCATGTCTTCTTCTTTTCCCCTGTGTCACCTGCAGAAGGGCGAGCGTGTGCCGTGGTGTTTGACTGCAAGTTCATCGAGACGTCAGCCTCACTGCACCACAACGTGCAGGAGCTGTTTGAGGGCATCGTTCGGCAGATCCGGCTGCGGCGAGACAGCAAAGAGACCAACGAGCGACGGAGGTCTGTCTACCAGCGTAAGGAGAGCATCACCAAGAAGGCTCGCCGATTTCTGGACCGCCTTGTTGCCAGGAACAACAAAAAGATGGCACTGAAAGTGCGCTCCAAGTCATGCCACGACCTCTCTGTCCTCTAATCATGCAAGTAACACCCACAGGTTTCCTCCTGACCCTGCCACTGTTTGGATCTCGGAGCCTGCTGTAAATTAACAGCGTATCCAAGTGACTGCTTCCTTATCTGCAGTTAAAGAAACACTGAGAGTGGAGGCAACTCGTGTTTCTCTCGTCCCTCAGATCTGTTTAACCAGTTATCTAAACCTTTTGTATAAGATAGGAGGATATTTATTTTATTATTTCAAAATCGTAGGAAAAAGAATTCAGTCCCATTTCTGAAAGGTGTTTGGAATTCGAGCTGATTAATCGAGTGGAGTCCATTAGGCTGAAGAGACATCAAACATTTTTGAATTGATGCCCAGACGTTTTTGGGCTCTGTGAAGAACGTAAAGTATTTGACTACAGAGTCCACAAAATTGTTAGCAAAAGGGGCTCCTTATCGACGTTTGCCTTGTCTATTCACACCCCGTACCAGGTCAGAGTTTTATTTTTCACTAATCTTTCTGAAGAGAATCCAGTTTCTGCATTAACTTTTTGTGAATATACATTTTTTCCGTGATTATTGTATATTCTAAGATACTTTTGTAGTCTTTACTAGGAGAGCTTTGAGTCTCTGTATTTTTTATAGACTAGACTCCAGACTAAAATTGTCAGTCAGAAGATGTTCGTTTTGTTTGAGCACTGAACAAACAATGCTTGCCTGCCCTTAGGCACAGCCAAGACGTTTCCAAAATACTTTTTAAAATAAATACTTGTCTTTACCAAAGAAGGGGATCCTGAAAAGATTTGGTATAGCCATTTCAGTTCATCCACACTGATATTCTGATTCCGTCAATGTGTGATTTTGTATTTTCCTACTTAAAAACTGAGGAATTTCCTAGATAATTGATTGATCAGACCGCATTGTCTCCAAGGCTCATTCAAAACTGATGATTTGACGAGCTTAGAACAATGGATTGAGAGACGTGTGCAATGGAGTTCTTGGCCAGCCACTGGAACATTAGAAAGGCTCACTTCCCTGGACTGGGAATCACTGCTGACTACCAAAACACTCACGACACCAACTTATACTCATCAACTTCAATGAGAAATCATTTTATTTATCTGGATAGAACATTGCATTATTTTATTTTACCTGGTATGAGTCTCAAATTAGTGTTTTTTTTTTTTTTTTCTCTTATCATTCCCTTCCATTCCTCCTTTCAGTCATTTGACAGCCGAGCGATTTGTAGCTATTATGACTGAGTGATTCAGCTTGGCCACAACAAAAAAAAAAGGAAAAATGTATTTTTGAAAGATATTTTAAGCTTATGCCATATTTCATTCCTTCTAAACATGCAAAATCCAAGCAATATTTTTTGTACATATTGATTGTGGCTGTGGTTTTTGTAAATACATAATGCCTAGAATTTTTTATAATAAAGCTGTTAAGTGCAGTATACACCAATGGCTATTTTGTCGATACATTTGTATTCAAATGTCCTTGTTAGATCACTAAACCTTTAATCTATAGCTTTAATGATGAACAAGTGATCATGGAGATTTTGTGCCACTTAGCAGAAGCACAATTCAGAGCATGGTTATGTGTGAAGGTTCGTGTATGAAGGTCTTCGACTCGCTGAAACACAGTATGATTCACAGGAGTGATCATGTGTCTTGTCAGTTCTGTCCCAGAATCCCAGGTCAGTGTTCAAGCCAGCTTACCGAACCTGTAAACACCGAAAGCAGTTAAAGGACTGGACTATAAACTATAAGCATCGCCATTTACTTATTTACAAATACCATTTACAAATAAACTACTCAAGTCATGATATACAGACTATTAAATAATTGAATTCCACTTAAATTATGAACTTACATTTGAACATTTGACAGCTTCTAATTTCTTCTACTAATAAATATGCATTAAATGTTGGAGAAACACTTAGATTTTCTGTGATTTTCATGCAGTGTTGAATTACTACCAAGTAATACATACAAAATGATTATATTATTTGCTTATCATGTGCCTCAATAGCTGGTGTGAATATTGTAGTTGGTTAACAACTCCTTATATTGGATTTTTTGTCAGGGATACAGGCTGTATTGAAAGAAATTGTGTGACTAGCCCAGAAAATGAAAGGAAAATAAGTTAATCCAAATAAAAACCACATACCCCAGATATGTGTCGTCAGGTCAAGAATAGCTTGTTGATACTGTGATAAGTTAATTTTGTATTTACCTACTAAGCAGAAGGCATAAGACTGCAAAGAAAACATTTCACTTTTATCCATTTGGCATTAGTTATGTGAAAAATTTCTGGCTTTTCTGACTTTGTGAGTCTTGGCGGTATTTTTGTGGTAACAAAAAAAATCCTTTCATTTACTAAAAATGTTTCGGTTACTTTTTATTAGATAATCAACACATATCAAACACCTGTGGTAATCTAAAGAGAAGGACATTGAAAATGTTATAATTAATTTCAATGGAACTCTTGTGATTTGTAGTCAACAAACCAATCTTAAATAATTTTCCTTTACATTTTTAAATCAATTTATAATCAAATTGTAAATTTGATAATTATGTTTGTGCGTTTGTTGTTACATTTTGCATGAAAGGTAATACCAACCACTGCATAATTAGGATTTCTGGCTGTTCACTAAGCATTCGAGCTATGTCTGCATTTCCACATCAGTCCATAATTTTCTGTGCAACTTGTCAGTTATTTTAAATAAACTCTGTTTTCAACAGTAAACCAGTCCTCTTCAACAATAAGGTAAATCGCTTTGAAGAGCATAATTGTTTACTCAAAGATACAAAGAAAAAAAGTATTTTTACAATATGTAAGGAAAATACATTTAAAATAATAATAATGGTTCAGGAGAATTCTGCAGCATGCTCTCTTAATTAAGTCTATGAGAGTGTGGAGAGTGGATTATGTTATTATATCTGATGTGCTGGCAGTCAATGTGCTGCCGATTCATGCGTAGTGAAGTTTCTCAGCATCTTGCACAATAGGCCAATGCTAGTAACTTCTCTGTATGTATTTCCAACAACTACTGTTTTCCAAAAAAGGAGCACAGGTAGCTGGAGTCGAACTTGCTGACCTAACTAGGGCTACAACTTTTTAATTCTGAATAGAGTAACTAAGGTATTTTCTTGCTCGTCATGACACAGCAGGTGTGCTGGTTTCTTGGTGTGTTCCTGATCAGCTTCTTTAAATCATATGTTCTTATTTAAGGGACTATTCATATTGCATTATTTACTCGCTTAGCAGAAAAGTCTCAGTAAATTTATGTGTGAACAATATATATTCATAGATGCATTATACTGTAAGACATTCATTTTAAGCAGTTTGCTAACAGCTGGTTTCTCCGGGATATTTTGATGTAAGTGAGTCAGATTGCATTCTTCGATGGTTACAATTTAAAGAGCAACTGCTGTTAAAGCCACAAAACAGGGTGACAAGAGCAAAATCCATATGTGCAGCATCACCGTTATAGTAAAAGTCAATGCCTGTTTGTTTATCAAACCTCACGCTGTGTTTGTCCTGACATTATAGTGTATCTGCATTATGAAAAAGAGACAGACGGAGAAGAAGGTCACCTTCACACAGAAGCCAGGGAGCAGCCAGTTCTCAGCAAGTACTTGCGCATTTCAAGTGATCGTCTGTTACCAAAAGGGGTACTTGGTACTTTGTAAAACTGGGCAGGGTGTGCCCCCCCCCAACCCACTAAACCTAACCAAAACTACGATTTTTCATTTTTATCATTGGCAAATGGCAAACTGCAGGCACAGCAGTAATATTTCAGTCATAAGTCTAGGTTTGCAATCGGTTTGCTCATTCTTACAGGATTTGTATATGCTGGTAATTGTTTTCAAATGCTGTGTGGGAGATCTCAATCATTTTCGTATAATATTAAGTATTAATAATATTTAGTCTCATTATTTGTATCATTCTATTATGGTTCATGATGATCTATTATTCGTTATGCAATTATTATCAATATTTTTAATGATCACTAATGTTTTCCTTTAACATTGTCAATAGAGTACATGCTTAAAGCAAATGTTTTTCCAGGACAAAAAAATACATATTTAGCTTGTGTATATATATCATGGTTGTTGTGTTTATAGCAGTAAAACTTGAGCTTTGTATCTTAGCTTAAGATTCCTCTGCTGACTCTGACAGAGATACAATGGCACAGGCCAGCTGTTGTGTGGATGTTTGCACGTGTATCTGTGGTTGTAAGTGTGTATGTACAGAAGTGCACATGCATGCATATGTGTGTGCGTAAGTGTGTGTGTGTTTGTAATTATTACATTGTGGGGACCAGCTTTCCCCACAAAATAATAAAAACCTGTAACTTTTTACCATGTGAGGATATTTTTCTGGTCCCCACAGTATAAACCTCAGTTTTATGTATTAAAAAAAAAACTGAAATAGTCAAAAGTCTTGTATTTAGTTTGGTTACTTATGGTTAAGGCTAAGGCTGGGTAGTATGTGTGTTTGTGTGTGTGTGTGTGTGTGTTTGTGTGTGTTCTTGCAGGCGTGCATGTGCATGCGTGTGCATGGCGAGCCTGAGATCTGTGAAGCAGCGTGCGCTCACACAGCCCTGCTCGGGAAGTGTCCGGCCTGGGGCCAGGCCCATATCAGGGGCCAAGCAGAACTGACAGACTCAGGTCACGTCTTTCCACTCTCCCTGCCTCCGCTGGGGGGGCGGGGGTGAGGGGCAGGGGGATTGACTGGAGGCTCAGTGCATTGATTCGCTCTTAGTAATGGAAAAACTGAGCCCGGCACACAACCTCTGCCTCACCAGCTCACCCCCCCAGACATACACACACACACACACACACACACACACAACAAACACGATCCTCCCAGAATACATAAACACAGCCTCTCATTTATGAAGGTTTGTTATTTTATAATGTGCAATGATGACGGTGACTCATCTGTAATATATACATAAAAAGTTTTCAAACTCAAACCCAGGACTTATTCAATAAAATATCATAACCATAAGATAGTTAGTCATAATTATGTCATTATGTTTAAAAATGTCTAAATATCAACAGAAGCAAACTGCACATTTGTTTATTTAGCAAACACTTTTGTTCAAAGAGACATATGACGCAGATGATACATAAAGAAATTAATTCCAACTTGAAATTACACAGCAGACTGTAAATCATTAATACACAAAATTGCTTTACATCAAAAACAAGCTCTGCAGTAAGTCTTCCTTTTACTGCTGTTGTTTTTTCTGCTTTGGGAAATATGAGTCCATAATGGTAACTAATTTAGTGAGGTAGTGAAATAAATAATAACAATTGTTATTCTGGAATTTATCTTAATATTTGAACTTTAATTGGTTGATTTAAAAATATTCAGCTGTTAAAATGTGTAAGCCACTCAGTATGAAGTGTTTTACTGCATAATTATTACATTTTGTTTGTTTCATTGCCTATTGTTCACAAGCACAGGAAATGCATGAAACTCGCACGGCTGTTAAGCAGTTTCTGGGCCTGTGGTTGTGAGTGTGTGCAGGACTTCCTGCTGAAGAAACCTTGGGATGGTCACATGACCCGCAATCCCCACACTCTGTGTGGAGCTGTAATGTTTAATGCTGTACAGAAGCAGCTCAACACCTAAGCAGTCATGATCATCCTGGACATTTTATGACATTTGCAGTTTTGATCGTTTCTAGCTGATCAACACAGTGGTGAAAACTGTATTCTGGAAATCCTCTGGAAATTCGGGAAAAGAGCGCTCACCTTTCTGTTACAGTGCTTTGCTATTCTTGGTGGCTGATTGCAACAATTTTCCTGCTCAAGCCTTTGTCGATAGTTTTCCAAAATAACATCTTACCCACCCAAACCCTGAAGTATAACATTGTGTCTTGGATTGCAAGGAATAAAACTCCTCCCCGAGACACGAACATACAAAACCTTGTTCCTGTAAAGGGGGTGGCGCTGAAAACATGCAATTTAAAAACTTAAGTCTAAAACTGTAAATCCAGAAGCATGGAAAAAGTGAATAAGGGGTGAGCGGTGGCGCTGGACGGGTTACGTGGGGGAAGATAAATGCCCCCATGCTCGTCGAGAGGCTGGTTCTTGTAACATGTCAAGGGTCTGGCGTCCTCCAGATGTGTGTCATGTTTATGCTGTCCAAATCCCCAAGGGAGATTTACATTCGGCTCGCTCTCTCTCTCTCTCTCTCTCTCTGTCCCTCGCTCACCTCGTCTCTCGCTCAACTAGCAAAACGCCTCATTACGGAAAGTTGGCAGTCAGTGGGATTGTGAGCGGCTGCATACAATGGAAAGAATGAGATTAAACCCCAGAAAAATGCAGCCTAATAAAGTTTATAAGACAAAAAAGATGAATAGTGAACTTGACCCCAAGCCTTTTTTCCTTAAACTCTGCTTGCATTTGCTATCAGGAATAACACTGAAAACTGTTTTTTTG